TTGGATGGAAGCGGATCAGGGCGAGGGGGCGGCGCGGGGCTGCTGCCCGCCCCAGGAACGGCATCCCGGGCACGGGCATCCCGGATGCTCGGTAACAGTACGGACACCAGAGGCCATGCATATTTGTTCCAGTCTGGGAGGTTTTGTCCAGGCTCGTGCGAGGCGGCTGGCGTGCAGCCCCAGAGGAGGGAGAGTGCATCGCTAACATTCACACGGGAGTACAAAAACTGGGTCCCACTACAGTGTAAACTGCATCCAGGCTGCTTCAAAGCGAGCACAGACCGATGGGCAGTTTTTCTGCTCTGAAAAGGCTTCAGAAACAAGGGCACTGTGAACACCGGGGGAGGGGTGGAGAAGCACCATGGTTTCCTTGAAGATCACAAGAGTTTAAAAACCGAAAGAAATAGAGAAAGAGAAACAAGGGGGAATAAAAGGGAGGAAAGAAGCAGACAGCTCTTCCAAGCAGCAAGGGGCCGCCGCTAGCCAAGGTGTCCTCACACCGTTGATACCAAACTGCCACTGCCGCTGCGGAACAAAGCACAGGAGACTGCCAGAGTGGCCGGCACCACCGGCGCGCACCGCGAGGCAGCGCCGTGCCTAGGAGCCCAGCTCCCCAGCACGGTGCCACGGGGCCCAGTGCTGCCGCAAAGTGGGGCGGCGATCTGGACCCCTGCCCATCACTGCTTTGCTGGCAGCGGTGGGTTTGGGGTTTATCCCCAAAAGCAGCTCCAAGGCAGAGGGAATGGGGACAGAGGAGCTGCCGAGCGGGAGAAGGTGCCGGAGAAAGACCCCGAGAGCACAGGCTCTCCGTGGCCTCGCTATCCGGGTGCCAGCCCCAGAGAGGAGCCTGGGGAGACGCGACTCTCTCCAGCAAAGCACATGGGGTGCGAGGTCAGGGACCCAGGGGCTGGCCCCCAGGACGCCCTCCTTGGGAGATGCTGGGTCCCTCCGCGCTCACAGATGAGACCTGCACCGCATCCTCCACCGCACGGCCCCATCCCAGCCCTCGCCTGGCCCCCGGGGCGCCTGTGCAGGGACCCCTGTGGGGACACAGTACCACGGCTTCACTCGGAGCCAAAAACCAACACTTCACTTTCAGGTAACATGACAGGAAGGTGAAGTCTTACCTGCTGACAGACCTCGTCCCGTAGTCATCGAGACCCTGCGGAGAGGAGGGGAGGAAGCACGGTGAGGGGCGGGGGACGAACGAGGCGAGGGTCACACAAACAGACCAAAGTGCATCGGGACCAAGAGCCAATGCATTTGGAGAGGAAAGGGAGATATGGAGATGGTTCGGATGGGATTTAGACAGCAAGGAGCCAAGTTGCACAGCTCCCTTCGGAGCAGAACTTCATCTGGCAAGACAAGGGAAAGCAGCAGCCGGGAGAGCTCCAGTCCGCTCTGCCCAGCCCCACTGTGGTACAGAGCTCTGGCCACTTTCGAGGCGAGACACACTTGAAAAGGGATTGAACAAGTTGGAGAGACACCAGCGAAATGTTCTGTGGAAAGGTGTGTTTGTCTGTATTAACTCCCACCAGAAACCCACAGGGGTTTGGACCATTTTCTCCTTCAGCCGGTTCTGAACAGCCTTTGCTGTGGGAAAGGACTGCACTGGTCTGAGAAGTAGCTGCGGACTGGGCTCAAGGACACTGGTCCTTGGGCGAGGAGCTGCCCTGGGATACATGACAAATGTGGGGCCACTCCAGGAATGAGTGGGAGTTGCTGGTCTCCGAGCTGGCCACGCACCAGAGATCGGAGACCTGCATTCCCACCACCCCAGGAACGCTCCCAATCAAAAAACACCACATCCAGCAGCAAACCCTGCTGGGAAAACCCAGCAAACAGCAAGAAGTGGGTCCTGCGCTTCTGTCCCATCCCCTGCAGAGAGGGCTGGAGCTGCCGCCTCTCTGGAGCGCCCTGCTGAAGGGTCGGGTGCTGCATGGCCACCTCTCCCCCTCCTCATCCTCTCCCTGGCTGCTGGCACGTGCCAAGCGCTCTGGGGAAGCCAACGTGGCTCATCCCACCACGCTTACTCTGGCAGGGAAGCCCCACCATGCCAGCAGCTCCTGCGTTCAGCTGATCTCATCCACACACCCATCCTTCCTAACGTGTTGGTCAAGAAGCCCTGAGCACATCTTGGACAACCACCAGCGCCCTCGCCGGGGTCTGCCCCAGCCCTGCACGCTCACCCCAGCGTTCCCACAGGACCATCACCGGCTTGAATTGGCACGTGCCAGAGAAAACGCTTCCAGCTGCCTGCGAACAGCCTGTTTCTGGTGGGAGGCTCCCATGGAGTCAGCAAGTGTTGTCCTTTGGGGGTTTACGGTGCCGTTTTGTGCCATTCGCTCCCTGTGCCTTGCCCGCTCCGCCCAGGCGAGCCAAACCGGCCCATCCTCTCCACCCGGTGCTCTCCTCTCCTGCCGCCTCCCTGCGTCCCCATCCCTTCTCCCCAGGAGAGATGTTCGGCAGGAGATGGGGCCCCGGGCAAGGCACACGGGTTGCTGGGCAAAAACAGCCAACTGCCCGTAAATCCCAAGGGAAACATTGCGTGCGTTCGGACTTACAGCTGTCGACCTAGCGTAAGGCTTGTAGTGAGCGGAGGGTGGTTGGCAGAGGCCACTGGAATAGTCTTTAATTGCACAACCATAGGGCATTAGGTAGTCCTACAAACAACGAACACAGGTTGGAGAGCGGCCCTCCTCCACCTCCGCGCAGTCTGCACCACGCCAAGACTGAGAAGATGCTTTAACACATTCCATCCTTCTGCTTTAAAGACACAGGAGACGCCGCAGACACCCGGGCCGCCACGTGCCGGGCTCCAGCAGGGGCTAAACGCTTTGCTCGCGTGTCTCCCGTTTATAAGAAGTCCCCCCTCAATGTGGGAGAAACCCCCGCTGCCCCCCGGGCTCACCTGGGAGAAGGCAGGCACGGCCACGCTGTACGGCCTCTGCTTGAAGGTGTTGACGCCTTGCGTCGGGAAGGCTTGGGAGGCCATGCCGTAGTCGGGCGGTGGGATGGCGATGTCGTCCTTGTCCAGCAAGTTGCCAGTGCTGCTGCTCTTCCCTTGCTGCAGGCTGGGTGAGGGGGGGACCCACAGCAGAGCCATCAGCACCAGCCTACCCCAAGCCGAGACCCCCCAGGCTGCCCATCCACCCATGGCAGGGGACCCCATGGCCAAAAAGACCCCTCCGAGCCAGCCACCACCTGCCCATGCTGGGAATTATTCCTAACGATGTGCATCATGTCCAAGGGAAAAGGAGTATTCCCCTCCCGAGCTCATGAAGCTGCCCTAGAAGGGGCGCTCGCCACGGCACCTGCGCGATGCTCCTACCTTGCGTGGACCCGCTCGCTGCCGTCGCTGTCAAGGACCCGTGTGTAGGAGAAAGGAAACCAGCCCCTCCTGAAAAGCAAAGGCAGGGGATGAAGCCAAACTCACATTTATTCACAAAGGATCCAGGAGAGGCTGCACCCGGGGTGCAGCGGTTCACGGGCACGGCCACGGCACTCACATCTTTGTTTTCTCGCTCTCTCCATAGTGCCAGCCATCCCTCGCCTCTGGAACCAGCAGCGTGATCAGGTCACCCTCCTTGAAGCTCAGGAGGGTGCTGTTATCTCCAGCAGCATGAGAGAAAATGGCCTGCACCCTTGTCCTGCCGTTCCTCTCGAGCCCTGCGGCCATGGAGCTGGAGCGCGGCAGTGTCTTGTTTTCGGCTGGTGGAAGACAGAGACCAACGAGTGCCCCGAGTCCTTCACCCTGCGGCCAAGCCCAGGCACAGCCTGGCACAACGAAGGGCAGGACAGGTCCCTAACCTCACTTCTTTTACCCCAAGTGCCAATAAAATCTTCAGTGTGACTCGCACTTTCCCCCTTAACGAGCAGGATCTCAGGCAGCATCTGGCCACCGCTCTCGGCATCACCCACCAGTGATGGCAAAGGGAGCAGTGAGATTCTTCAAGATTTTCCTCCTGGAAACGCTGTCTGTTGGCCAAAACCCACCCAGCCCAGCTCTGCTCATTTCCTAACCCCAGGTCCAGAGGAAGGAGCAGCACTTGACGCTGATGGGATGCTGCCGCTCACTGTGCCGCCACCTCCAGCATCCCCAATTTTTTCCTCACCGCGGCTGCGGCTGGCCCCGGCTGACTGCTCCCCGTGAGCACCGCCCAGCGCAGCCTGCGCCACGGCACCCCAGCAGCACCCGCAGCGCAGGACGGGGAGGACAGAGCCTCACCTGACACGTAGCTGTTTTTCGGTGGCACGTTTTTGCGAACTGGGAGTGTATTGGAGTAAGAGTCACTCAGCTGCTTCTGAGGCTGGGGAGGAGATAAAGATTTGGGCTGTGCTGGCTTCATCTCAGACCAGTGGTTGTACCCGTCACTGTCTGGGCCTGAGACTCCGTTCATCACCGGCATGGCCTCCTGCGCCGACATGCGCTATGGAGAGAGGAGAGGGGGGCGGGGGGGGGGAAGACGGGGAACGTCTTCATTAGGGTATCCCACTGCAGCTTCTGCAGCGGGACGCAGCTCGAGGGAAGGTGGCTCACAGCAGACCAGAGCTTCAGCCTGTTGGGTTTAGTTCCCTGCAAACTGCTCTGGGTGGTGGGAGCAGCGTGGTCACCTCTGTGGTATTTTACTGCTCCAAGCTGCCTTGCACACAATAAATCCCTCCTGAGCTCTATTGCTCAGCTCGTGCCCCCACATCCAGGGGGAGACCCTTTTCTGAAGGGTCTTTCAGCCCAGGGGTCCCTCCAAGCACCTTCTCCTGCAGTTACTGGGGTACCTCGGTTGAGCCCCACAGCTCTGGCACCAGCCTGGCTGGGTGAGTCCAGCTCATGGGTTCCCCAAACCACCCCCCCAGGAGCCCCTGCCCCTCTGGAGCTCAGCAACGTGGGCACAATGGGATGGGACAGGCTGCCCGTCCCCATGCCAGGCTCCTCCCCGCATCCCAGGGCGGCGCCGTCCATCCCTGCACACCGATGACCGTCCATCAAGAGGAAACTTGCTGAGGACAACGGTGACACTGGCCCGGGCTCGTCCCTCCGGCTTTGCTCAGAAGGGCAGGACAACTTCCACCACGGAAATACTTACTCCTACAAAAGGTGCCAGCTCCGGGGGGACAGGGAGAGGTTTGGCACCAGGGATGGGGTCAGAGATGATGAGGTTGGATTTGGATGTAGACAGAGGGCTGGGCATAATGGTGCCATTGCTGCTGGCAGCCATCTGCTGCATCAGCTGTATAGCGCGGTCCGGGATCTTGTTGGGATCCGAGCAGGACTGCTGCCACAGAGGCAGCTTCTGCGTCAGCATCTCCTTCCCCTGCGACAGAGAAAAACGAGGTGTGAGGGCGCAGGGGTGCAGGGGAAACCACCCAGCTCTGCACCCCACCCTGGGCAGCGCTGCACGGGTCCGGCGCTGGCCTGATCCTGGCTGCAAGATTGATCAGCTCCTCTGTGTGTGGCATGGATGAGAGAAAACACGGCGGCTTCCAGGCTCTGAAACCAGCTGACCCAGGAAGGTGTCATAAAAAATGGAAAGGAGGGAAGGAAAAGGTAATTCATCCTCCCAGCTTATCCCAAGATACCCTGCGCAGGGCAGCTCCAGGAGCAGAGGGGCTGTAGGGAGCTGGGCAGGGTGCTGTGCTCCTCAGGGAACAGCACTGCTCGACCGAGTGGAGAAAGAAAACGTGAGCAAAGGCTGGGGCACAGGATGTGCAGCGCACAGTTGTGCTCTGTGCTGCTGCCCAGGTCCTGAGGGATAAGCGTCACGCTTAGGGCTGCTCAGCCCCAAAAGCCTCTGGCCCCACCACCCCGCAGCTAAACCCCCATGTCCTGGCTGTGGGCAGGATGGGCAGCCCCCCACTGCCGTGCTCCCAGCCAAGGGGGAAGAAAAACTTGCCCTTATTCAGGTAACACACTCGTGCCGTGTGAGTGAGCATCCCATCACGCGGCTCTCCGAGGGAGGAGATGTCCCAACCCACCCCGAGGTCATTCACCAGCCAAGCACCACGCAGACCCCCAGCCACCCAAACGCCAGGAGTGGTGGCTCTGGTAAGCCCCACAGCCAGCTCACCCACGGCACAGGGTGACCTGACGCCTCTGCACGGCATCTTGACCGGTCTCACCTGGAGACAACTCTGACCCCACATACCAAAAAACACCTTCAAGCCAATTTCAGAGTTCCTGGACTTTTCCCCA